GTCTGGGGCTAAACCATCACACCCCGGCACCCAGCAGCACAGTCAGCCTGGTCCTGCCCCTCATGGGAAGAGCCTGTGTCCATCTGCACTCCCCTGCAGCCTGAAGGAGGGTTTTAATGCCGGGCTCGCAGTGAAAGCTTGCCCCCCCTCCTGTGATGACTCACACAGCTCAGATTTTGTCTGCTTTCACCCTTCTAATGCTGGTGGAACAAGGTTGGATGGGCACTGCAGTAGGCCTCCGTTAGAAATGGTCCTTGGCAGCCAAAGGAAAGAAGGAAAGGGTCTGCAGGCAGCCCGGCTTTCAGCGACTGCCCCGGGGCAGCAGCTTGCCCACCTCTGTCCAGAGGAGCAGGGTCTGACTTTCACCACCACCACCTTCTGGGAGGGTTTTAGGCACTGAGCAGCGCTGCCAGCCCCACCAGCGAGAGTGGCGTTAAGAGGCAAGAGACCACCACAATCATGCAAGAAATCCACTGTTAGCGACAGCTGAAATACAACAGGAGGGCTAAATCGTCCACCGCTCTGAGCCTGTACAGGTTTGTTTGCATGGTTTATCGGAGCCATTAGACTGAAATCCCAGACAACTGCTTATATCGGATTCACTTCAGACCTAATGAGCTCATGGGTGCTCGTTGCTCAGGTTACAGAGAGTCTCTTCTCCAGACACAGCCTCCCCCTCTCACAGCCTCCCCAAGGCATTAGGGTGCGTGTGGGGCAATCGCAAATTGTTTTCCCTTTGGAAAACAAGGAGGAAGATCCTGGATGCCCTCAGTGACAGGGTGAAATTATGACTCACTCCCTGACAGTGCACAGGGGGGTTGTTAACAGACATGGGCAAGGTCAAAACATTACTCCAGACAGCTAAGGCGTCCCTCTAATGCCTCTGCCCTTCCTGGAGGTGTGAAGCAAGTATCAGAGAAACGCCCCAGGTGCCCAGGGCAGTGTCCGAGCAGCAGAAGTGAGACAGCAGAGGCCTTTGGCAGTTGAGGAGGAAAGGATCCTGGAGATAAGGGCATGCCTACCTTTGTGATTCATCGTCTTCAGGCACTGCTTGCTCTGGATGTCCCACAGCCGGACTGTTTCATCGTGTGAGCCGGAAAGCAGCAGGCTGCCATCCGTGGAGACAGACAGACACGTCACCTGGTTCCTGGAATGGGGAAGAGAGGAGGAAGTTTAAACTCAGGATGACCCGAGGACTGCCAGAAACTGGTGAGATGGGCAGACGGGGGCAATGAAGTGCTTGGCAGGTATGCCTGGTCCCTCACCTGTGCCCTTTGAAGACCTTCCCATTCTCCCGCTCTGTCTGGAAGGTCCGGTCTCTCTGGACCGGCTGCAGAAATGAAGGAAGGAAGGAAGGGAGAGAGCGGTTTAAATTCAGGAAGACTGAAGCCAGCAGGTTCATCACTGTGTCTGGAGGTGGCAGAGGAGACACAGGGGAACCCTGGCAGGTCACACCAGTCACGCAGGCAGGGAGGTGACAGTGGCTCAGGGTGCCACGTCAAGAGCAGCACCAAGCAGATCTGCAGCCCCACGCACTCACCCAGGCACAGAGGTCCACCTGGAAGATGGATCCGTCCATGCCACCGCAGAACATGTGATACTCGGAGAGGTCAAGAGTCACAGCCATGATCCCCACATCGAAGAGGACGGAAAGCAGGAGCTCCCCAGATGATATTTCCCAGAGCTGGAGCGAGAGGGTATGGGGGAATTAGGGGCTTAAATGTTAACGTCAGGATTGGAAGAACACGCTGCTGCTTATCAGCACCTGCATGCCCAGCAGCAAGCTGGCAGCACGTACCAGCATCCCCACCTTGCTGCGGATGGGGAAACCGAGTCCAAGGCAGAGCCACGGCAGAACCCAGGATCAGCCTCTTTGTGACTAGGAAACAAGTTTCCCAGGCAGCTCCGAAACAGCCCTTAACCCCCTCCCATGCTGGCCCTGCGCCCCAGGGCAGACCTCTCCCTGCCAGGCAGGAGGAGCAGGCTGCGGGCTCCAGGTTGCTCTACTCCCTGCCCTTCAAGAATAAAGGACATCAGAGAGGGGAATCAGAGGAGCTGAGCCCAACATTCCCCAGGAGATGAGGGACTGCAAAGCACGAGGAGGCCCAGCCCGAGGGCAGGTGCAGAGAAACTGCTGGTGTTTGGAGAGGCAAAGCCCATTAGGTCTGGCAGCTCTGAGTCATCACAGAGACAGCCAAGAAATTCAGCTACTGCAACACTCACAGGCAGCTTTGCTGCAGCTCAGCAGAAACTCTGCTTTAACCCTCTAGGGCCTGCACACCTCCGGGACTCGTTTGGTGGGACTGAGCCAAGCCTTACCTTTGCTGTCTGGTCAAGGGAGGCTGTGGCAGCTCGTGCCAAGGGCCCTCCAAAGCCACAGCACAAGTCCGTGATGGGGAGGCTGTGTCGGGACCACACATGGCGAGGGTCAGGGATCTGGGAGGGCTCTGCCTGCAGCACGCTGTAGGGGAGAACGGAGATGTGTTGGCACAGCAGGTCAGCCAGAGCAACACCGGGGATGCCAGAGCAAAGCAGCTGTGAGGAGAGCTGGCCAAGGCTCTGCTTCCTCTGGGACGGCTCTCCTGGCTGCAAGGACCAAGCGGGACACAGAAGTTGTCAGCACACGCAATACCAAGGATGAGGGCCACTACTGAGCTCCACATCCCAGAGGACACAGAGACCTCAGCTGCCATTAGCAGGGAAAGGGCACAATCCACTCCATGTCAAGCAAGGAAAAGAAGCCAGAGCCATATACGATAGCTTGAGAAACTCAGATGAGACACCAGGAAAAACCTTCTCTGGCAGTGAGGATAACAACAGTGGAACAGCCACCTAAGGAGGGCACAGAGGCATCATCACCAGCAGGCTTTACAAACAGCTTAGACACATGGGCTTAGGCACAGCCGATTCCACCTCCAGGAAGTGGTGGCTGATCTCTTGTTCTAATATTCCTCGCCCAGATGCTCCCTGTCCCCC